GAGAGAGAGAGAGAGAGAGAGAGAGAGAGAGAGAGAGAGAGGAGAAGGTGAGATTTGGAGAGAGAGGAAAAGACAACACCGAGACGGCGCGAGCAGAGAGAGGAAGCGAGGGGCTAGCGAGCCTGGAGCGAGCGAGCCTTCCCGCGCCTAGCCCGGTCTCTTCGCCTCACTCCAAAAGAAGTACCCGATCTCGAGTACCCCTTCTTGGAGCCGCGGAGCCTCTGTCACCGCCTCAGCCCTACGCCCCGGGTCCGTTCTCGCCTCCCCCACGCCTCCTCCCCCTCCCGCCTGCCCTCCTCTTTCATTCCCTCCAGCCGCCTACCCTCCCTCTTTCATTCCCCTCCCCTCTCCCCTCCCTCTTTCATTCCCCTCCCCTCCCTCCCTCGTTTCATTCCCCTTCCCTACCCCTCCCCCTTCCCTCCCTCCGCCTCCCTCCCTCTTTCATTCCTTCCTTCCCTCCCCTCCTCCCCCTCCGCCTCTTTCATTCCCCTTCCCTCCCCTCCCCCTCACCCCTCTTTCATTCCCCTTCCCTCCCTCCCACCCTCCCTTCCCCCTCTTTCATTCCCCTCCCTCTCATTCCTCCCTCCCCCTTTCACTCCCCTCCCTCCCTTCCCTTCATTCCCTTCCCTCCCCTCCCCTCCCCTCCCCTCCCTCTTTCATTCCCTTCCTCCCTACTCATTCCCCTCCCCTCCCTACCCTCCCTCTTTCATTCCCCTCCCCTCCCCCTCCCCCTCCCCGGTCCTTTCTGCCCTCCCCTTCCCCTCCCCTCCCTCTTTCATTCCCCTTCCCCCTCCTTCTTTCATCCCCTCCCCTCCCCTCCCTTTCTTTCCTTCTCCCCTCCCCCCCGCTGCCTCCCCCCTCCCCCCCCCCCCCCCCCCCCGGACCAGGCCTTGGCCATCGCGCCTTCCTCCACACCCACGATGGACAGTCCCTAACCAGCCTCCGTGTGTGTGTGTGTGTCTCTGCGTGTGTGTACGTGGGCGTGTACGTGCGTGCCTGCGTGTGCGTGCTTGCGTTCGTACACCGTGCGTGCTTGCGTTGCTTGCGTGCGTGCTTGCGTTTGTACACCCATACGTGCGTGCGTGCTTGCGTTTGTACGTGCATACGTGCGTGCGTGCTGCGTTTGTACATCCATACGTGCGTGCTTGCGTATGTACATCCATACGTGCGTGCGTGCTTGCGTTTGTACATCCATACGTGCGTGCTGTTAAAGTCGCGGTTCACCTTAGCCCGGCCGTCAGCGCGGCTAAATCTGGGCCGAATCGGTCACTCCGGCGCGAAATCTGGGGGCCGAGGGAGCCGGCGACGACGCGACTCGGCCGTTCCTCTCCCTCGGCGATCTCCGGGCTTTCCAGGGCGCGATTTGACGCTGGTGGCCGTAATTCGCTTAACGAAACTATCGGGCTGGGCGCGATACGCTGGTGGCCGTAATTTCGCTTGAAAGACTTTAACTATCGATATTTATAAAGTCAACGGAAGTTATATTAGAGATTTTTATGTAAAACATTTAAGAGTTAATAATCACAATAATTCGTTTCTACTACCAAAAGACAAACAAGAAATGGCTACTTTGAAACTGAGGATCTACACTCGCGTCGGACGGCGTTATAATTTTGAATCTGATGAGTCGGCTTCCGTGCTTCCTTCTTCTTCAAAAAATAAATAAATAAATAAATAAAAATAGACGCCATGAAACACGAAACGAAGGTGAAACAGGGAATAAAAAGGGAACAAGTCCTCGTACTCCATGCTGCCCAGACGGGAAGTGCTACGCGCGGTGTTACGGAAGCGAGAGGCACGTGCGCGCGGCGGCCTGTTACGGCGCCGCTTCTCGCAGGTGAAACGCTCCGTCCGGCTGGGCACTCGGACACAAGCCTTCCTAGACGACCGCAAGACCAGCTGAACCGCGCCTTAATAAGTGCGTTTTCATGTACCTCGGCGTAAGAGTGCGTGCGTGCGTGCGTGCGTGGCCCTCGCCCGCGGAGGCATAAGGGCGACAGCGCCGTATCGCTTTCAGTATTCCACCTACACGCCGCCCGACCGCCCTCTGCCGCCGCAGCGCCGCTCGCCCCGAGGAGTCGCGGTCAAGTCAGTCGACGACTTCGTTGCCTTCGCTAACCCCGTCAAATCATGCTGACGATGATGATGGTCACAGCAACAACACTAATAAAAACATCGACATCAACGCACCACGAACTGCAACACAATAAACATAGGAACAGCAATAATGATGATGATGATGATAGTGATGATAATAATAATTATCATTATGATCATTATCATCATAAAATGATAATAACAATAGCAGTTGCTTCAGCAACAGTATCAGCAGTAAAAGTAATAACAAGAACAGTTATTGTGATGCTAATAATGGAGTGATAATAATAATAATAATAATAATAATAATAATAATAATAATAATAACAACAATGATAATAATAATAACTATAAGCACAGAGAGCGCATACCTCCGCCAAGGCAAATAGGGTCACTGATACAATAACAACATTCACACTTGAAGAATTACACATCAAAATCCCCTCTTTCTCAAGTGCACTGGCGACGTCCGTGCTTCCTCTCGTCCGTGTTTCCTCTCGTCGTGTTTCCTCTCGTCCGTGTTTTCTATCTCTCAATGCTCATGAATCCCGTAAAATAAATCCTGGATCCGGATTACCACCAAAAAATTCAATGGCTTCAAAGTTGGCCTGAGACGCACTAGTAAAAAAAATCTGTTTATAACTTCTTGAGTTATCCTGTTAACAACTACTAAAGAACACTACCAACAACATAACCTCGCTGGCGGAGCTAATAATAATAATGATATTGATAAAAAAATAACAATAATAATAATAACTAATATCAATAATAATAATAATAATAATAATAATAATAACAGTAATAATCAAATAATAAAGCACAGTATTAATATCCTTCCTTTCTTCCAAGCGGCCCCATCACCACCAAAAAGACACACCCAGGGGCACCGCACGCCCTTCCCCTCCCCCCCTCTCTCGCCCTCCACCTCGGCGTCTTTCCACTCCCTCGCCCTAATACCCTACCTCCCCCTCTCTCGCCCTCCACCTCAGCGTCTTCCATCCTCGCCCTAATACCCTCCCCCTCCCCCTCCTCTCGCCCTCCACTCGGGGCGCCTTCCACTCCTCGCCCTAATACCCCCCTCCCCTCTCCGTCCCTCCCCTCTCCGCCCTCCACCTCAGCGTCTTCACTCCCTCGCCCTAATCCTCCCCTCCCCTCTCCCGCCTCTCTCGCCTCTCGGGGCATTCCACTCCATAATACCTCCCCCCCCCTCTCTCGCCC